CGTTGCAGGGTGGGGTTCTCTTGAAGAGGTGGCGACAGTTGAAGCTCGACGTAGATCTCCATCATCCGCAGATAAGTCTTCCGGTTCTCGTGGCGTTGGCGACGAATGGCATCACGCAACTCAAAGATTTGGCGAAGAGCATCGAGGGTGGTGAGCGCGAGGTCCATCAAGAAAAGTCTTGGAGGTTGTTGCTCACTTGAGTGCTTGGTCGTGGATTGCAGAATGAACCAAACAAGGGCAAGGAAAAATGGTGTTGGTCAGCTTGCCAAGGTATCCTTGACGGGATTCCTTGGCGGGTGGTCATGGTCCATGGATCGCGGAGAAATGTCAAGATGATGCTCAACTGCCTTCCACCTCGTCCGACCGACGGGTGTGATTTTTAACGCACGTGGCCGCCGTTGTACTACTTCTTAGTTTGATAGAGAAAACAAGTGAGCAAACGCATGCTGCCTGTGGACACCTTGTTGACTACCGAGGCTTGTCTCAAGCTAGAATTTGAAATGTGTCGAGGCACGCCTCGTGCGAAGTGTATTCGTTCTAAGACTTAGAGGTAAGGCCGGTTATCACTAGAACGACGTGTCTTGCAGCACTTGCTCGGGTTTCTTTCGTCACTCTGGAACGATCCCAGACCTTCGATTCAAGTTTGAAAGAGCCAAACCGAAAAGATGCTATCCTAGCGACTCATGTGGGGCAGTCATTGATGCAACGCTGTCAGTGCTGCTGATCAGCACTATTGGATAAATTACGCTTACATGTCAGCTTGTTTAGAAGGAAGATCGCTCCTGAAAGGTCAAATCGCTGGGTTCATCGGGAAAGACGCTCGCTTTAAATTCTTCCAGATCTTGCTCAACTATCCTAGCATGTCCGTCAGGTGCGTGCGTATGAGTGTATGCTTCACGATGGCATTTTCTTTTGGGTTTGGTGTGTATTTTCAGAATTGTGAGCTTGCGGCGAACGTTGCGCTGATGGTTGGAGGCTGATCCGCTCACTGAGCTGGAAGCGCCGAGGCACACCGCGCTACATGATGCGTGTCAAGTTAGCCGAGCCAGCGCAAGCCAGGTGATATAGCTCGCCGAGGTGGTCATGCTGATCACTGGACTCTTACGTCCTCGGCCCAATCTGTTAATAGCATGCGTTGAGGCAGCGACACCGAGCACGTGGGCTGCGAATTGACTTCATAGCCAACGCAGGCGTGATAGGCTAGACATACTATGTGCACTTGAATAGACTTTTACTTGAAAGGGTACGTTTTAATGAGGCGAGGGCGACCGACCGCGAGCATCACTCAGTACGCTCACACTCTACCAACGACCACCGATTAGGCGGGACTGTCGAAGGGAGTGAGCATATCAATACACTTCAGGCAGATACATGCAGCAGGTTGCAAAGAAATTTGGTAATAAAAATTGATTGGAGCCATTCCCGCAGCAAGTAAAAGGACAGAAGTCTAGGATTCTAAAAGCCTTAAATGTAAGCGACTATCGCTCCATTTTCGTAATAGAATTGTAGTACTAATCGGGAACACTGCCAATGGTGCCCTAATGGGTGCCTTTATGTGGACCAATCGATCGAACTGATTAAAGAAAATGTTTCAAACAATTATTTTACAGCTTGTTCAAGCTTTGATTCGCGTGAATCGATCAATCCTCGATATCACATACATCTATTTTCATGGAATTTTCAAATACAAGCGTAAAATAAGTTTAGTCATTCGCTGGTTACCAGTCAACAAAGTCAGGGGAAAACTGATTTGTGGGTCAGAGAAAATCTATTTACGAAAAACTGATTTGTGAAAAAGAATCAACAGTCCATCCCCAAAACAGTGTATATGGGTTTGGAGTCTTAATACTTGAAGAAAAAAAAAGCAATCTTTTTGAGTTGTGGTCTAGACTTCTGAACACTTGAAGTGGTTCGAGCAAATGGGAAGGAAAGAAACGCTTAAATCTTTGACCACAGACCTTGCCTCTCTAGCTACATGTATTACTAGTAACGTTATTTTCTTTGCGGCATGGAACGTACAAAGACTAAGCGCCGTATTTAGGTGCATATCCAAGACGGAAAGCCATCTCTTTCATGAAGACGCGAGCGTCCATTGCTCCGTATCCACCGAGCTTGTCCACTTCTGCTTCATCGAACGTCTGCACAGCGTCACGACGAGTCTGGTCCTGGTACAAACTAGCAAACATGAGGCGCTGAGGGGCTTCATCCGAGTCCTGCTCTGGATACTTGTGGTCAAATTTCTTGTAGCTCTGCTGGGGCCGAAGCGGATGGGAATCCGACGGCTCCGTCACTCTCTGACTGGCAGTCTTCACAATAGAGACGAATACTTTGCTGCTGCCATCCTCTTGATGTTGCGCTGCCAGCTCCGACACTACCGAGGTGACCCAGTGGTCCTCGGGTAAGGATCCATTCTCGGCCACTTCGACGTGTACGAAGACTAGGGCCTTGGCGATCTCCGGGTCCGCTAGAAGCGACACGATCTGAGTCTTAGAGTCATCTGAGTCCTGGACATGGTGCACGGACGCCACTCTAGCGTTCTCAGCAAGTTGAAGAGCGGAATCAGACGCGCTGTAGAAGGAAATGGGCATCTTTGGGTATCTGATAAGATAACACAAGGCACCTATTTTTAGCGGAAAGAGCAATTGATCACTTTGGATACTTTTAACTCACGCGATAGCACCCTCGTCCCCCTG